TCAAAATATACAATGAATGTTATATCAGATATATAAAATAGAACTCGCTTGAAATGTGAACCTGAAATATTTTATATCACTACATATTTACCTCAAAAGTTTAACATTTATATGATCTGTTGTTACTTGAGTACTTATAATAGTTTAATAAAACGGATCACTTGTATGATTCTAATAGAAGCTTATGAATGAAAGTCTGGTATAACGCGGTCCTGTCAGAAACATTCCTATAAGATAAATTATTCTTAAAGGCAATCATAATGCGGTCCTGTTAGGGACATTCCTGTAAGAGAAAATCACAGCACCTTCCTCGTTCAAACCAAAACTCTGCTGATCTAGAGAAAAGGAGTGAATGATTTTACAGCGCCACCTGGAAATAGATGATTGTAATCACAAATCCATTTCCTTTTTATACTTTACAAAACCTTACTGTTTTGTAAGATCTTACACCCTGTTTCTGGAAAAATAACTCGTATTAAATCTAAAAACTGCTTGGTTATAAAACAAAATTTTCAAAATCACTTGTGGTATAACCAGTTTGTAAGATTAATTTGTTGTTGGTTTTTAGTTGTATAGCTACGGCCACGTATTAAATTTACCTGTACCGTCCGTAATAACTTGTTTGTTAAATTTATTCCATGACTATAAATCCAATTGTATAGTTTTTATTCACTAAGTAGGTAAACGAACGTTCTATTAGTCGACAATCAACGGTTTCCATTTCTTGATTTTATATTTTTTAATGTATGAAATACAAAAAGTCAAAACTATTTAGATAGTAAAATGCAGAATTTTGTGTGATCGGTGATTTGTAATTCTTATTAATGAACATTATATATATAACGATGCTCAGCTACATTGGCCTTGGAATTTAGATTGTAGTGCCATCTGGTGACATTTATTTAAGGTATATTATTTAGAAACTTTAAGTTTCTGAGCTTTGTTAATGATAGTATTAACACCTGCCACACGAGCCAGCCCGGCATCTTGATGTGGATTAAAAGTAAAAAAAAAAGAGTCATTCCGTAAAAATTTGGAATGTTTTAATTAGACAAAAAAAAAA